ATTAAGTTTCCCCATTTGGATATGAGAAAAGTGAAGACGATACACAGATAGAACTTTACCTGTGCCAAAAATTTTCCAAGGTGAATCTGAGCCAGAGTGATACATGCCATTTAACTACTTTACCTGGGTAGAAAATCAGCATTACTCAACAGATCCAGCAAATAACACATCATATCAATCCCCTAGAAAGATGAACCACTGCATTGCTTTTAACTCGCTTTGTGATGTGTGACCTGTATGGAGCATTACAGTAATTCTCTTAGTTCATTTTCTCACGACAATGAAGGCTGCCTTCAGGGCAGCGATTAAAGCTAATCACCATAACCGGTTATTTTCTTTGGATAATAGAATAAGTAGTTCCAAAGTTAAATATCAGATGGTTCATCTAGTTTTGAGGTGACAGTAACAGAGAAAAGACCCTAAAGTTACTGTCATAGCTGGCAGCCCTGCATCAGGCAGCCTTTAGAGCAGCTGTCTCACACTTGTCCACAGCTCGGGTATGATCCATCTTATTCCATCCAATTACACATATTTGAGATTTAAATATAATAAGAGCCCTTAATATAAGCCCCTATTCATATCATCGTTTACAGGACAGATTACAGGTGTTGCATGTGATACAGAGCACAGATCGAATGGACCATTCTCTACTTGCACTCTGATGATTAAAGAAGCTGCTCGCAGGCCCTGGTCAGTCTAGAGTGCCATAACGGTAGATGATGCCAAACCACATTAGCCAACTGAACTGCTCTTAACCGTCACTGCCTCCCAAGAGACGCGTGTTAGGTGGCAGAGGTACTGCTGCTATTGCTCATAATTAAAATGCTGGCTTTGGAGATAGAGTTGGCGTGCAGCACTACGTTGTGTTTGCCCACTTAGAAATTTAAAAGCACAGTGAATAAATCTCTATTTTCATAGTTTATGTAATTCACTGGTGATAAATGCAAACACAACGATACAAAAAGTACTTAAAATGAAATGAAAAGGAGTGTGAATTGTACACTGAACATAAAACACCCAAAAGGTTTTTATGTAATATTTGTTTTAAAGATAAACACATGCATCCTTTTAGGTCTATGTATTTAGCACAGTGTACAGAGCAATAAAATAAACTATGTAGGATCTGTTACAGTAGTATTTCTACTGTGTTTTGTGTTTTGAAAATTATTGCATTTGTCTTGTTCTTTCTATTTTAAACTACATTTAATCACTTCTTACTAATATTTGAATTAAATATGACATGTCTAAGCTCACCTGAGTATCAAGTGTGTTTCAGCAGTGAGAAAAGTTGTGTATGATGGCGCTCCTGCTTGCGTGACCCTCAGCAGTGCAGCCTTAAACAATGAGCAGACCTGAGTCTCGCCGGCCAGCTGGGTGGGGCCACTCAATGGCAGGAAGCACAGCCATCAATATTTACTCTGCAAGCAGGGTAGTTGAAGAGCTGACAGGCCTGGAGCCTGGGTAGCACAGCGCCACACACAGTCTCAGAATACATACATAAACACTGGAGTACTGTTACGGCATTCTTCCCCTTAATCCCCTTTTCCCACCCAGTTGCAATTACAGCACAGGCAGACAGGCTGGGCCCTCAGACTATTGTGTTTGACTTCATAGCTTCCTCTGCCAAAAAGTCCAGGCTTTAACCATTGCTAGATCCCTCATAGATACTGTACCTTTATTAAGTAACAGTCTCTAAATGTCACTCACATAGCAGCTAAAATCTTAGGGAAGTCACCTTTTTTATAACAACCAAATTAAATCTCTGGTTTCTCATTATAATAGTTCCTAATAAAGAGACAACACTAAATGGCCTATTATTATTTGATTATATTAACTGTAATTAATTATTTTGTTCTGATTTCAGAGAGATGGAAGGCTCTGCTCTCTTCACAGTAGTGCTAGTTGGAGGGTTTCTGTGGATCTCTGCTGGCCATGCAGGTGAGTTAATGGTCATGCAGACAATGTTCACTGTTGTGAAGAGTGTTAACCTTAAAGCTGCATTAAAGGATACTTCTGGTCTTGACACTGAATCAGATGACTGTACTGTGAAGGTACTGCAGGACCCACTGAGAATGTAGCTTTTATGTCTTCGTTTTGGTTCTCCAGGTCTGGTATGAAACAGCAGGCCACTGTTTCCAACACTGAGTCAAAGAAAATTAGTGGCTCAGAGACTGGTGCACCAAACCACAGCTACAAGGATCAGGAACAGGCTATAAAGTGCCTTAGGGATGGTGTTTTCTTGTAGGCCAACCCAGAAGTTAGCATCACCATAGGTTTCCTCGACAAAAAACCAATGGGATTTTTCCATAGGCTTTAGGATTATTTGTCTTTCTGCCTCCTAGTGGTCAATAATTGCATAATGCAGCTTTAAAAAAACTAGTCCTTTTTAAAATGTGTGGTAGGTGGGTTCTCACTGTTCTACTCATTTGTGGGTTAAATGTTAATTCTGCAGACTTTAGTCTCAAACAGTAATCTCTGTAGGAGAATACCTTTACTGCAGATCTTCATACCTTTCCATTTACACCCACTCTCTCTAGACATTTTAACTTTTATGCTACTGTGTGCAGCACATGAGCTTTGACAACTAACCTGGCTATCACTTACTAAACATACATTGAGCATCAGATTAATGTTACTTGTATTCAGACATACCATGTACTTCATAATCTCAAACCAAAAATAGCTATCCTGGTCAACTAGACAGCCTTGTTCATCTTATGGTTGCTAGGAAATGTAGTAAACATATCTCTTTCTATTGCAACTAGTGGTTCCCCTCAAGGACAGTTTATCACTGTACTACTAAACTTTGAAAAATTATTTGGAGTGGTTTTGGCCTTGCTTTTTTTTATAATACTCAGACCAAACATATTTTGTGGTTTTCTTAGTTTAACATTACTGTCGATACTGTGTGTGTATTTCTTTGTGCTTCAGACACCGATGAAGAAGGGAAGCTGCTGTGTACATGTGAGAATGCCAAAGGCACATGCATAAATGGAACCTGCAGAGGAGACATCTGTTTCTACTCCTGGGAGAATGGCAATGAGGAGAGGGGCTGTTTCCCTCGTAGCCTCTACTTGGAGCAGTGCTACGCCTCCGTCACGGGCCTCTTTATTCGTTGCTGCAAAGAGAACCAGTGCAACACCGACACCACAGTCCCTCCAGATATTAGTGAGTACCCGGGGCCATTGCTTTACAGTATTTTATCTGTCACACTCTTGAATTGTGAAGAACCAGTGTGGTAATGGCCCTCATGATGTCATTTAGTCTTTTTATTCTCATCGCACAGTTTAGTGCATGTCCTACATTACTTGTACTGAGGGGATTCAAAGCTTCCCCATAGATAGTAACTGGTTCCCCCTTGTGGTCAGTAAGATATTGATACTGGGTGGCTTTCCTGTGTTAGACTGATGATGCACTAAATGTCATGTTATTAGCATGTTACTGTAGTCAAAAATGATTCCAGAGTAAAGTCTCTTCTCCACAACATACAAAATGTTGTCAACTGGTTTCCCAATCTCAAAAATGTGTGTGTGTGTGTGTGTGTGTCTGAATGCATTTGTGTATCCAGCTGGGGAAAGGACAACAAAAACCCCAGATATGCCTCACCTGGAGCTGTGGATCACCGTGCCTTTGCTGCTGTTGATCATAACAGCAAGCGTGTGTGGCCTGTTGCTGTTCCTGCACTCCCGACGTGCACACTGCAGAGTGAGAAAAGATGAAGACCATGATGTCACCATGCTCAAGGTCTCTCATGGAGATGACTCCACATATGGTGTAAGAGATATTTGACATAAGATACAAACAATTTTGTCAAATTTTGGATCTCTCACATATGGATATTTTCTGTCTCTGTCTCCAGAATATCCTTGATGAGTTTTGTACATCAGGGAGTGGGACAGGGCTGCCCTATCTGGTACAAAGGACTATGGCAAGACAAATTTCACTTGTCGAGTGTGTTGGTCAGTCTCTTTCCATACCACTGCTGCTCTTCTTTGTCCTTTGTTTATTACATTTGCAGTTGTGTAATTGTTTCATCCTGTATCCAGGTAAAGGCAGGTATGGAGAGGTGTGGAGGGGGACGTGGATGGGGGAGAGTGTGGCTGTGAAGATCTTTTCATCTAGGGATGAGCAGTCCTGGTTCAGAGAGACAGAGATCTACAACACTGTCCAGTTGCGACATGACAACATACTGGGTATGTCAGCATGTTGCTGCAGTGCCTTTCCTGTGCAGAGGAGGGTGCAGCATCAATTCCAAAATCACCAGCCAGAAGGCAGACACTGAAATGGCAATATTCTATTCTCACTTTCAGGTTTTATAGCCTCTGACATGACATCCAAGAATTCCAGCACCCAGCTGTGGCTTGTCACCCACTTTCATGAGCTGGGTTCTCTCTACGACTTCCTGCAGCACAGCAGCTTGGAGCCAGAGAGCTGTCTGAGGATGTGTCTCTCTGTGGCCTGTGGTCTGGTCCACCTCCACACTGAGATTGTCAGCTCCCAGGAAAAGCCAGCTATTTCCCACCGAGACCTGAAAAGCCGAAACATCCTGGTAAAGCGGAACGGACAGTGCTGCATCGCTGATCTTGGTGAGGATTGTGATGAAGCAAGGAAAGCAAACCCCAATCCACTAGACTTCCACAGTAGTTACATCTGTTTCCAACTTAAGATAGTAACAACTAAAGTGTTGAGAAAGCTACTTTGTGCTGATTTTGATAGTTTTGATTGTATATGTCACTGTAAGTAAAAAGGTTGCATCTACTCTATGACTACCCTGCCCTTAGGTTTGGCTGTAATACACTCTCAGTCCCATGACTATCTCGATGTGGGAAACAATCCTCGTGTGGGCACCAAGCGCTACATGGCCCCTGAGGTGCTGGATGAGACTATTCGTAAGGACATCTTTGAGTCTTACAAACAAACTGACATCTGGGCCCTGGGCCTGGTCTTCTGGGAGATTACCCGCAGGACCATGGTCAATGGTAATACATTTTCTCCCTTTGCAGTCACTTGCAGAGATATTTCAGGATTTTACTTTTTACCAATTTAAACTTCATATTGAAAACTAGCTTCCTCCGTTTTGTCTGTCTGGCTCTGTTAGAGTATACGGTACATAAGAGGCAGTTAGTCCCATGTCTCTCAGCACTCCAGTGTTTTCCTAGTCTGTGTCTGTCTCTACTATCCTCTGCCATGATTAGCACTGCAGTAATTATAAACAATCTTATCTGGTGTCAGCACTCACTTGTACATAGTCCAGAGTCCTGTGCACACAATTTATTGATGCAAGCACACATCCACACACACACACACACATACGTGGACAAATGCACTTAGTCAGATGGATAAGCATTCATAACTTTGTGTGTGTGCTTCCCAGTGTACTCACCAGGGACTTGATATCTTTGCCTGCTCTCTTGTATAGTCAAACAAATGTTACTATCTCAGTTTCCAAGTGCGCTATTTCAGGCCTTGTATGAAAAAAGGTTTGTTCTGAAAATGTATGAGATAAAAGCCAAAGAGGTTTAATGGTTATCTACTCATGAGGGTGATAATGAGTTCTTACAGTATTTAAGATTACAGTCTGCATATCTCTCACTGCACTGAACCTCACAACGAAGACTGTTGTTGAGATAGTTTAGAAGTTGTTGTTCTGCCAAAATGGAGGAGAAATAAGAAAATTTGTCTTTTTGTATTTTTGATTGTTTTAGGGATTGTGGAAGAGTACCGTCCTCCCTTCTTTGACCTAGTGCCATCAGATCCCAGCTTTGAGGAGATGAAGAAGGTGGTGTGTGTAGACCAGCAGAGGCCCAGTCTGCACAACCGGCTTCATTCTCATCCAGTAGGCCAACTGATAACACATACACACCCACACATTTACACTCATGTGCAGTTCCGTTTTGCAGGGCTACAGAAACCTCATTATACTGTAGATTATCGCCTCTTCTCACCTTTAGCACCCACATTTTTACACAGTTATGCCGGATAAACAGTCATACAAGTATAACACACATAATAATAATAAACGGGAAAAAAACAAAGTCTACTGTGATGGTCAGGTGGTATTTTAAATTTGCCTGTGTGTTTCCAGATCCTGTCAGCCATTATAAAGATCATGAAGGAGTGTTGGTACCAGAGCCCATCAGCCCGCCTCACAGCCCTGCGGGTGAAGAAGACGCTCTCCAAACTGGACCATGACAGTGACTTCAGCACTGAGAAACTCAAGAGGGATATCTAGACCTCAGAGTACCAAGATGAAACAGGGACACACAACTGAAAAAACTAGAAGGGATCTTGCACCACACTCTGAACAGCAGGAGGTGCATATCATTAGCATAGTTTGAGCTAATGACTAGATCGCTGCATTTTATTGAAATCATATGACTTTAAGCAGTAGTGTCTAGACTGTCTTGTACCCAGGGCTATGTTTTTTGTGCAGCCTAATTTTCATCTGCCATATTTCTGGTGCCTCAAACCAAGAAGCCCAAAAAGGAACAATTTTTAATCAAGGTATTTTAATTTTTCTTATGTTCAACTAATAAAGTGTAAATCAGACACTTCCTCACTTCCACATTTTTATACTCACGGGGTTTTAATCATTTCCTAAATCTCCCATTGCCATGACAGAATGGATAATCTAGCATAGCACAATTATTCATCCTCTTATAAATATCTTATCTGATATATAGTAAAAATATACATATAGGTTTCACACAATGACCTAATCCATGGAAAACCACAGAGCGCATAAAGACATTTGTTGCCTTTTACTGTGAATACAAGAAACATGTAATAACATGATCAAACAAGGCACATTACCTGTTCTATACGTATACAGTACTTAACTTATATAAATTGGTTATTTAGTATCTGAACATAGACACATTGAGTTATTTAGTTGTACATATTCTGACAGCACTGAAGCTATTTTCTTGTATCACCATAGGGTATACTGTAAATATATTTCAAACAGGGTATAACAATAAGACACACTTTATATACTTTTGTATGGCACAACTTTTTACAAACCTTTTTATGCCTAAAAGTACCCCCACTGTCACTATGGTCCGTAAAGCAATTCACAGGTATGTAATATTGTACATGTTGAATAAAGGACTATTTTTAAAATGTTGGCACTGGAGATAATAGTTTTGTACCACTGATGTTTGCAGTTCTCTCATTCACCGGTAGAGGTCATCAAAACACAAAAAAGTGATCCAAGTTGCTGACTGGTGCAGCTTGCCTCAGGTGGCTAATGGTGTCATCGGTTTTGCAACGTGTTGCCACTTGTACTGCATCATCCTATGATTAAACAAAGTAAAGAGCCATGTTTCATCATAACACTTACTTATATTTGAACAATCATGATAGTCCACATATCACCATATTGTCATGATAAGATTATGTTCTCATTTTCTCTCAGCCACACTAGAGTTACATAGTGAGATGCTAAACTAGAAAATATTAACTGAACACTGCAAGACAAACCTGACTGAGCAGGGACTTCATAAATGTAAAAATAAGCAGTTCTTTTATTTATTTTTTGCTACATTATTATTCAGCTGTTATTTATGCAATGTGCTCTATAAGTTGAAAATAATTTATTA